TATTATATATGCCTGAGTGGTTTTTTTGTTTGGTTTTTTTAAAAAGCTAAAGTGGATAGAGAGAAATACTGTTAACTGATGGTATATGGAGGGAATTATAATCAATGTAATGAAACAAGGTATATGATTTATTGAATGTAAAACTGATGATATACGCTGTAAACTTTTACTCAATCCACAATAAAAACCTTAAAAAACAAAAACAAAAAACTCACTATTGGTGACAAGACATGGATTCTTCACTTTGAGCCTGAGAGTAGAAACGGTAAAGTGTGGAATGGAAACATCCTCAATTGCCAACCAAGAAAAAGTTCAAAAGTCAACCGTCATCTGGAAAATGGATGCTTACGGTTTTCTGGGATTCTCAAGGGCCAGTGTGGGAACACTATCAGGAAAAATGTTCAACAATCCACAGTGCCCATTACAGTGAGCTGCTCCCTGAAGAGCTGAAGCCTCAATTTCAGATTAAACACTGAGGATTGCTCTCCAAGGGCTTTGTGATCTTGCGTGACAGTGCATGTCCTTACACCTCTGCCCACACTCTTGACACTCTGCAAAAACTCCATTTTGAGGTGTTAAAATATCTTCCCTATCTTGTTCCATCAGACTTTCACCTTTTGGTCCCCTGAAAGCAGCCCTTTGAAAACTAAGATTCACCTCTGATGAAGTGAAGACAGTGGTGCATTCATGGCTCGCAGCTCAGCCTAAAACAGTTTTTAATAAAGGAATATGAAAGTTTGTTGACAGATGGACAAAGTCTATTGAAAAGCAAGGAGATTGTGTCAAAAATCATGTATTTGTCTTTTCTAAAAGTTGGTTAACATGAATTCTACAGCCAGAGTGTGGATAGTTTTTTACTCAGCCTCATGTTTGTTTTTGTCCTCTTATTTCCATATGAGGAGTCCAGGTGTGGCTCCGTGGTTAATGTGCTGGACTGCATGGTCGGTTTGAACAACAGGATAGGCGCTTCAAGCTCACCAGCTGCTCCTTGGAAATGATACAGGGTCACTGTGAGTCGGAACCAACTACCAACTCGACGGCGCTTAACAACTGTTTCCATGTGAACAAGAACTTCCCCACTCCCAAAGGTTTTTGTTTTTACGTTTTATTGAGTGACGGTATATAGAGCAGGGCATCAGTTTCATATCCCACAAATCACAACACACTTGGTTTCCTCTCCTTGACTTGCCAGTCCCACCGGGTACCAACACTTGTCCAACGGCCTCCCTGGGTTTTCAGCTCAGTTGTAAAGACTTGTGCAGAAACAGGTGTCCCGGGCCGGTGGAGAGGCAGGCAGGAAGGTGATGTGCAGCAGCTGGAATGGGTCCGGGTGGGTTTTCGCATTCCCTCCGCACCTGTTTATCGAGTGCTTGCTGTGGCCACTGTTCGAGGCTCCGGGACACAGTGCTCTGCTCTTCTTGTAGCGCTTGTTTCAGATAAATTCGTAATAACTCATAATCCTTCCTGGTGGACCTGGTCTGGTCCAAAACACTGCTCTAATTTAATACCTGGCTCTAAAAGAGAGACCCTGGGAAGAAAAGATTTTCCTAAAATTTTTGAGGGAACTAACTCTGAAGGCCTTGCAGAAGAGTGATGTCTTTCCCTTGCTTGCTGTCCCAAGCGATTTGAATCAGGGAGGAGCGGCCCCTCAGCCTGCTGAACGTGTCATCCATTTACCTGCCTGGCTGCCGGCATCCCTCTAGCCTGTCCTTCAGTTGCCGTGTGATTTTTATAAAAAGCCATTGAAAGTGCCCCACTGGGGGATGGACAGAGACTCTGTAGGTGTAGTAGCCTACTTCCATAAAGATTGGCAGCCTGGGTACCACATGGAGCTGTCCTAGAATCCATTAGGGAAGGGAGAGTGGTGGTGGTGTGCCGTGGAGGCAGTTCCGACTTATAGCGACCCTGCACAGGGTTTCCGTAAATCTTCACAGGAGCAGAAAGCCTCATCTTTCTCCCACAGAACAACTGGTAGTTTCGAACTGCTGACTTTGCGGTTCGCAGCCTGATTCGTAATCACTAAGCTGCCAGAGCTCCTTATAAGAGAGAGTTGTTGGTGTTGTTGTGTAGTGCTGTTGAGTTGATTCCGACCAATAGCAACCTTGTATAGGGTTTCCAAGGAGCAGCTGGTGAGCTTGAACTGCCGACCTTGCAGTTCAAACGGCTTTTGTAGTCTGGCGCATTAATCCACAGCACCACACCAGGACTCCCATAAGTGGTCTAAAAACACCACAGTCTCTAGAGGCAGCTCTGCCTGAGTACCTACCCAACTTCCTTAACTGCTTTGTGACTTAGCCTCGTGGTGCTTGATTTCTTCATCTGCAAAGAATGAGACCTTGACTGATTATCAGGGTTGGAGATGTAAAGGTAGATGTTTTGTAGCAAGGAGGGGGAGTGATTAACTTTGCAGTCTAGGAGCAGAAGTCCCTGGGACCATCAAGGGAGAAGAGTGGAGAGCAGGAGCCTACCCAGAGAAGCAGTGATGCCTGAGATGGAGGCAGAGACGATGACGTGGAGCGATGGAGCAGCTGGGGATTTTAGACACAAAGAGGGAGAGGGGGCTGTGTGCTGATGAATGGAGGGCAGGCCTGTATGGTGTACCCTTTGGTTGGTTGATGATGCATGGAGGGGATTGTAACCATGGCAATGAAACGATACACGATAGGATGAATGTAAAACTAATGCTCTCCCATGTAAACTATCACATAATTCACAGTGAAACATAAAAAGAAAAAAGAATGAGAACTTACCAGGTTTTTCTGGGAATTGATCAGGTGGTGGTTCTTGTTGTTAGTGCTGTCCAGTCAGTTGTGACCCCTCACGACCCTGTACACAGTTTCCGAGGAGCAGCTGCTCATTTTGAACTGCTGACCTTGTGGTTCGCTGTCCAGTGCTGATCCTACGGCGCCACACAAGAACGCCTGAAACTGCTTAGCACACACTGGGCCAGTACTCCCACAGCACTTGTGGTTGCAAAAAAAAAAAACACGAACATTCTGGGGGGAGTTTTCCTTTTCGTATTTTCTTCCAAATACACTGCAAGATCCTTAAGGCTTGGCATTTTTGGAGTGGAACATACATATCATATACGTGAAAATGCTCTTTGAGGGTTTATAAGGAGCTCTGGTAGCATAGTGGTTACGAATTGGGCTGCAAACCGCAAGGTCAGCAGTTTGAAACTCCCAGGAGAAAGTTGAGGCTTTGTGCTTCCATAAAGATTTACAGCCTCAGAAACCCTGTTCAGGGTTGCTATAATCACCACCACCAAGCAATAATTAGTGCATATGAGTGCTGGTGTTGGAGGAGAATGTTAAAAGTACCATGGACTGCCAGAAGAACAAACCAATCTGTGTTGGAAGAAGTACAGCCAGAATGTTCCTTGGAAGCCAGGATGGTCAGACTTCGTCTCTCATACTTCAGACATGTTACCAGAAGGGACCAGTCCCTGGAGAAGGACATTATGCTTGGTAAAGTAAGTGAAGGGTCAGTGAACAAGAGGAAGACCCCCAATGAGATGGATTGGCACAGTGGCAGCAGCAGTGGGCTCAAGTGTAACAACAATTGTGAGGTTGGCGCAGGACTGGGCAGTGTTTTCTGCTGTAGCACACGGGGTCACTATTAGTCAAAGCCTAGCAATCACCATATTGTTAAGTGCCATCGAGTCGATTCCAACCCACAGCAACCCTGTGTAGGATTCCCAAGGAGCTTGAACTACTGACCTTGCAGTTCAAATTACTTTGCTGTCTGAGTCCACAGCGCCACACCAGGACTCCAGCAACCAAAGGAAGATCTCCTATCTGAATTTTCATTGAGTGGATAAAGGTGCGGTGCGCCTCCTAGTGAACCAATTGGAAAACAACATTTGCTTTAGTTACACTGATCCTTTGGGATGGTGCATGGTTGTTCCTCACAAACCCTATACAGGGTCACTGTGAGTCAGAATCAACTCAACAGCACTTAATCACAACGTGCTGAGTTTAGGAGTCGTGGTGTGGTGCTGGGTAAGTACTGCACTGCTAACTGCAAGGTTGGTGGTTCAAACCCACAAGTAGTTGTGTGGGAGAAAGATGAGGCTGTGTGCTCCCATACAGAGTTATAGTCTCAGAAGCTACATAGGGTCTCTCTGGGTTGGAATCAACTTGATGACAGTTGGTTTTTGGTGCTGAATTTAGGGAGCTCTGGTGGCACAGTGGCTCAAGTGCTTGGCTGCCAACTGAAAGGTTCAAATCCACCAGTTCTTCCATGAGAGAAATTGTGGCAGTCAGCTTCCATAAACATTTGCCACCATGGAAACCCCACAGAACAGGTCTTCTTGGTCCTATAGGGTTTTTACGAGTCAGTATCAACTGAACAACTGTGGGTTGTTGTTTGTGCATATGTCTGCCAAACTTAAAAAAATGAAGCGCTTCGCTTTTCAATTCTTAGTCTTGAATTTCTGCTACAATTTTGGAACCTTTCTCTTTGGGCTCCCTAATTTACTATTAAGATACACATATTAAGGTTTTTGTATATGGTTTACATAAACTGTTTCATAATTTAGCAGAAACTGTTTCTTTGTGCATTTCTCGTTCTACACTGACCGTTATTTGACTGACTGACACCAATCAGTCAGTTATACAATGTCGTGTATCCCTCTCTTGGATTTAAAAAACAAATTGTCACAGTGTGGAACTCCTGAGTGCAGCCGTACATGAACTGTGAACCATGTGTTTGTTCTTGAGGGATGGAAATTAATTGAAAGGAATTTTTTTGTTCTTCTTTTCTTAGGTTGACAAAGACGCAGAGTTAGTGGCCCAATGGAACTATTGCAGTCTGAGTCAGGAGATCTTAAGGCGACCGATCGTGGCCTGTGAACTTGGCAGGTATGCTTCCTTTAATTAGTCAGAAAGCATTTGTTAAGTCATTCTGAAAGAAATTATAATGTTTCAGTGCTTAATTTAAACATTTAAGTGTTTAATTCATTAAATCTAAATTATCCCTAGCCAATTTGTGAAGAAGGATGTTAACATCCCCTGTCTCTGAACCTGCTTCTGTATCTCCTGATGGTGTGTGACAGAGTTCATCCTTTGACTGGAAAGTTAAGTGCTAGCAGGAGCTCAGTCATGTGACTCAGAGCACGCACAGGCCGTGAGAGGCGCAGTGACGGTGGCGGTCGGAGCACCTGTCCTGTCTACTCAGTTCCAGGCAGTTCTTGGCTGTTGATAAATGTGGGCCTAGTGTTTGGTTTGGTTTTTCAAGAAAAGTTGAACATACATACCTTTACATTAAATCTTCCCATCTTTTATTTCTTTCTTTCTTTTATAACAACAGACTGCTGGATTGCAGCATTTGATTTAAACCAGCTAATTTCTTTGTATGCTTTGGAATTCGTTAAGATTGAAAGAAATTTCTTTCTTTAATTTTCTGAACAAAATAACCCATACCAAAACCTTGCCCAGCACAACCATTTCTCCATTTGGAATTCAGTGGCTTTGATGGCATTCTGTACATTGCACCGGTGTTACCGTGACCCTTTTCTAAAATAGTAACTAATGTAAAGTCAGTGTCCCCACCTGTCCCCCGCCCCAGGCTAAACATTCCCCTTACCTCTTCCTTCTCATCCTTGATAAGCAGTAATAAACATTCATTTCTGTATGTTTGCTTATTTCCTATAAGTGAGATCTTGCAGAGTTTGTCCTTTTGTGACTCACTTCACTCAGCATAGTGTTTTCAAAGGTCGTCATTTGTGTTCTGTTACGGCTTCATTTCT